AATTGAGAGGCCCAAGTATAAGCATGATTATCTATCTGTATGTCCAGAGCTCAGGAATTAAGGCAGTAGTAGCACTGGAGAATACCACTATGAGTCAAGAGCTAGAATCCAGAGAAATGATGGAATGGCAGCGTCATCAACTAACGTGATACATGATGACGTGAGGTTCAAGTTGGCATTTTTAGTGTAGAGTGAGGGAGAAGTGTCCAAAATCAGTGAGGAGTAAGGATGCCACCTACTCATTTCCAGGCTCAAAGATCTGAAGGCTACAAAAGGAAAAGCAGTCTCCAATTGGGAGGCTGATAGGGCATTCTCAGGGGGAAGCCAGATTTTGATGAGAGCAAAAAGGTGAAGGGAGTATTAAAAGAACTGTTTGTGAAATAGAGGTGTGGCAGCCAGCCACCAAGATAACACCTAATGATCCTCACTTCCCGGTATTTAAGCCTTTTTTGAGTCCCCTCCCTTATTGAATCAGCTGACCTGTGTGACCTGTGTGACCTGTGTGACCAATGGAATACTGCAGAAGTGATGACACGTAATTTCCCAGGCAAGGTCATAAAGGCACTGCAGCTTCTGCTTTGCTCTTACATGACTGATTCTTAGTGAATCCAGCCACCAGGCCATGAGGACACTCAAGCAGCCCTGTGGATAGGTCCTTGGGGAGGGGAAGAGAGACTTCTCCCCAACAACCACCACCAGCTTGCCAGCATGTGAGTAAACGACATTGGGAGCAGGTCCCTACTTCTCAAACTTTCAGATGTCCACAGCCTCCAGAGAGGCTTCAAGCTAAAAATGTCTAAACAAACCATTATCTGATTTCCAATCTCTAAAAATTATGCTATATAATAAATTATTATTTTAAGTCACTAGTTTTTGGAGTTATTTGCTATGCAGCAAATCTGTGCATAACTAATACAGGGGTGTTTTGCAAATAACAGTCGTGAATTTCAAAAAGCACAGTCAATGGCTTTTAGGACTAGTGGAAGGGAGAGAGAAGATGAAAGAATAGGATTTGTGAAAAGCTTTAAAAGGATTAGAGTGTGGGAGATGAGAGTCAGTCTGGGAGGTTTTGTGGTGGCTGACATAAATGAGAATAAGTGAAAACAGGAGACAATTATCAAGACAGATAACAGCGGTGAGAACGCGTGTTTGGTGGTGAAGAGGAAGGAGTTTCTGGAGATCTGTCTTCACCTTTGATAACGGAGATGGAAGGACTCAGGGAGGTTCGTCTTGGTCTCAGGGACAGTTTGCTCTTAACCACCTGTCTTACATGTGTGCTCTGTGTGGATCCCTGTTAGTTGTATATGTTGTGTATTTCTCATTTGAACCTTTGATTTTCATATTATTATCCTCATTTCACAAATGAGAACATTGAGACCTAATGAGGTTAAGTAACTGGCCTGAGGCCACATAGCCAGTAAGGCAGAGTCAGGTTCTGAATTTGGGGTTTTCTGATTTAAGATCCTGCCCTCGTTCCGCATTTCACCTGGAGATAGAAACGTTTTAAAACCAACGTACTTTAATTTTCAAAGGATAGGATGGAAGTTAGTCATCTTGGACATAGATTTGTTAAGTGTAATTATAAATGCTCTTTTAAAAAGCCCACATGATACATGTGAATAATTACATAGAAAAGAATCCAACATGAGAGCCATCGACTCAGAGTAATATCAAGTACCTGGAAGATGCCAGCAAATGGAAGAAAAGAAATAAGAACAAGTACAAATGGATGCTAAATTCGTTTTACTGTCCTCCCCATTTAGAATGTAAATTCTATGAGGTCAGAACTTTGCCTTGTGTCTGGTACTCAACGAATATTAGTGTGTGTTGAAAGAATGAGGACAAGGGGCTCAGCTAAAGGAAAACTATTCGGATGAAAACATCCTACGTAACATGTTCAAGCATGTTCAGGATAAGAGAGGGGTCAGGACAAGTTGAAGGCAGACTTAAGAGGTTGAAGAAATTCGTCTTCAGGACTTGTTCCTTGTCTACACTGCTCTGCTAATCCAGCCTCCAGGGCAGGTTCATATTCAGAGACATTTCATCATATCATTCTTGTTCTGTTCTCCTTTAAGTCCCTTAGAAACATTGAGAAACCAATAGTTCTTACCTGGCAACACATTAGCATATTTGGGAAGTTAACAACAAAATAAAAAATGCAACAGAAAAGTATCTGGGTTCCCCTCCCCAACACAGTCTAATTTAATTGGCTTAGGGGTGAGACTCAGACACTGACAGTGTTTCAAAGAAGTCCCTTAGGTGATTTTACTGTGTAGCTAGGATTGAGACTCAACTAATAACTTTAAAGTATTGTCCTTCTCAGGGAAATTTGAACATTGAGAGGTCTAAACTTGATAGGATAGTTATGCAGTTCTGACTAGCACTATTTCAGATGTCAGTGGGTGGAGAAGTTCCCAGAAATCACAACAACCTAGACGTAGCGTGGCACTCGAAGAGGAGGTACTCGAGAAATGTTTGCTGAAGGGATGGATGAATTCATACCACGTAGATGCCCCTTGCTCTTGCATAAAGGCTTCTCTCTCTACCTGGAGAAGCAGAGCTATGGAGACAATTGAACAGTCTGAGAAACAAAAATTCTGTATCAGTTGTGGGAGGACGCGTGGGTCGGAGGATGGTTGTGAATCCATGTGTAGACAAAACATCAATATGTCTTGCTTGTGTACTCTACTTTCTTTTTCCCCAAAAGTGTATTCAGAATATCATGGTGAACAAAACAAAGTTTTCTTTTTAAACATATTCTTGAATTCACTGAAGCTTTTTTTATTCTGTATTTTCTTGTTCAGCAGATAACAAAATTACAATTATTGTCGTGGGTAGTCTGGTCTTTTTTTTTTACCATTGAAAAGAAATGTTTACATTTGAAAAGAATGATACACTCTCATCTAGTCTGGAGGAAAGAGGTTTTGTAGAATGAAGGACATGCATGAAAGTGAGAGGAATTAGTGGAGAGCTATTCAGCATATACTCAATATATTCCTTTTTGCACTAGAAGAAGCTGGAGTTACATGAGCCCTGAGCACAAGAGTTTAATGTAAAACAAAGCATCCTCATCCTGCCCTTCTCCAAAGGTGATCCAACATCATTGTTAACTTAAATAAACGTAAAGAGACTTGTCTGGAGTTTCTGGGTTAGACAATTTATCCATGGTAAATTTAGCATAACCACAGCTCAGATTACTGTAAAAAGTGACACTATCTCCCTCTGTCATGACAATTAGCAGGCAAAAGAGCCACCCATTTCTTTATCAGCTCCAAAGAAAGGGTAAATGAGAAAGCAGCATTCTTGCCCAAAATGAATGAATGTAATGGCTAAATGCTTATTTTTGTGTGATTCACTGCTTCAAGTTGACTTCTGAATCAAATATACACAGGTCACTTGTACATTCTCCATCAAATCATTAATAAGTGAAATGACAATGGCTAGCCACTGTCTCCAACATTTATAATACATGAAAAGCATTTGGGAGATGTAAAGACCAGGCAATTGTGAAGCACCTATAAAGATGCGAGGCCGAAATCACTCATAGTGACATTCAGCTGCTCAGTTATACCAGAATATGGTTAGTGCCCTTTCATTTGTGGCTTTAATTCTGATGTAGGCTCAAGACAGGAAAAGGCCACCATCATATCACAGTGGAATGATATTTGACTTGAAGTCATATGTCCTGCTTCTGAGTCACTGCTCTGACAATGAAAACTTATTGATCCTGAGCAAGTCATGTAATCTCCCAGAGTCTTAATTTCCCCATCTGTAAACAGGAAATAACAAGAATTTCTGCCCTACTATTTTAGTGTGTGGTTCAATCGACATACTGAGTACTATAAAAGTATTTCATAAAATAAAAAACATTGTGCAGATATTTGCTATTACTATTGCATTAATCATCATTCAATTCGAAATAGTGAAGCCAGATCATGGCTTCATGGTCTCCAAGTTCCCATATCCTCATCAGCAGTAAATATTTACTGTAGTTATACAATATAATAGTAGTTGTGTGATGTAGCTTAAAGATATTGTAAATATATCTCTATATACATCCATAAGTAGTGGAATAAGGAAAGTAGTGGAAAGGAAAATTGTCAAAACCTATCTGGGAAGAGTCAAGTCTACTAGTAATATGAAAATATTGACTTTTTGATAAGGTTGATAATAAAGGGTTTTAAAAAGTATGGAAAGAGGCAGGAGGATTAGGGGAGGGAGAACTGGATGAAGGTGGTCAAAAGGTACAAACTTCCAGTTATAAGATAAATAAGTACTAGGGATATAATGTACAACATGATTAATATAATGAACACTGCTGTATGTTTTATATAAAAGTTGTTATGAGAGTAAATCCTAAGAGCACTCATCATTAAGAAAAATATTTTTTTCTTTTTTTAAAATTGTGTACCTATATGAGATGATGGATGGTCACTAAACTTACTGTGGTAATTTTTATGAGGTATGTAAGTCAAATCATTACTCTGTACACCTTAAACTTATATGATGCTCTATGTCAATTATACCTCAATAAAACTAGAAGAAAAAACAAAATAATTTAAATAATGTAAAAAAAAGTTAAGGAAACATGGAGATATTGGGAATCTTAGGAAGCTGTTCAAACAATAGGTGAAGGACCAGCACAGGCACAGTATGAGAGCCATCAGGAACTAGCCGGTATGCAAGTTGCCAACGGTGTGCATGGAAGTTCCCTTTGGTTTCTAGCAGAGCATGGCAGAGATGATCAAAAATCATCTCAGTGTCTCAGAATTGAGGCCTTGCCACCTTAGCATCTTCAATGACATCCAAAATGCTTATAGTAGAGGCTACTGGCACCATATGTAATTTTTTTTTCAATCACATGTAATTCTTGAGGACTCACATTTCTTCTACCGCTGTGCTCTGCTCCTTATAGGAGGTCTTTTTAGTTCCATATTTATTAATATTTACATTTTGGTTTCTGGTACTAAGATCATAACCCCGGAGAGTGCTGCCTTTACCTGATAGCTCCTGGATTGCAGTTATGAGCATGAAGTTTCATATCCTAGTCCTCAGGTCTGGCCTTCCAGACCCACAGAAGTTTCCACCAGTGGCCACTACCACATGCTGTGTGTACCTGGGGAGACCATACAGAGATGTTTATAGTAAGTCAATAATAAATCAGTCTCAGTTTCAGGACAACCAAAGCAAGAAGGAAACTTCACGTGTTATATCACACTCATCTGGCTTTAGAGCATTGCATGGTCTCTGTATACCCCAAACTTGTTTATCTCTGAATTCCTTTTCATCTCTAACCACCTCCCCTAGCTCCCTAATATACCTTGTCTGGAACTGTTTATTTGACTAGGTCCTCATTTTGCCTTTTCTTGATTCCACTATCGACTCCAATCTTTTACCCAGTACAATGGTTTCCTGATGAAGGATCCTGGAAAGTAAATGGCTGAATAGGTAAAACTTGGAGGAAGCTCAGTTTTGTCTTTGTTTTTCAAGGCGAAACATGGCACATGAAAAGAAAAAATACAATCATAATTTTTTCCACCTCTGCTAAGTAGAATGAAAAGAGACAGGCTTACCTCATCAAAAACATTTTTTTTTCCAGTAAAGAAACATATGGCCTGACCATACTTCTCCATATCCTAGAATTTGTAGAGGATTCTAAATTATAGTGAAAGACTGAAGGAGATGGTTGAGGGAAGAATTAAAAGCTGGCTGGACAGAAGGAATTTAGGGAGGTGCGGTGATTATGACAATAGTGAAACCCCAGGAAACTCAGAGTGGGTATGTACTCCCTTGGCTCATTCTTTTGGAAATGATGGGCCATCATATAGCTTTTCTAGAAGTCCCTAACGGAGAGGTCATTCAGCAGACATCCTCATAATGATTCAGAAGTCCTTCAACCTCCAGAGGAACAAAGTTTTACTGTGAACAGAGTGTATTATGCAGACGTATCCTGCAGAGGAACTGCTGGACAGATTGGTGTCCATATGAATACCTTTGGCAGGAGATACTGAAAGTTCTGGATTTGTGAAGTTAAAATCTGGTAACAAATGAGCTTAATGCATCAGAAAGGCAAAGTTCGGCTGCATGTGTATGGGATGTGTCCTAGTAACACAGGATATTACTATTGACTGAGGATACAGCCAAAGGGCAGCTGAGTCAGATTCTAGTGCCTCTGATCAGGGCAAAGTTAGGGTTAACTAGAGCAAAATTCTCTGGTGAGTAAAATGAAACAAAAGATTCATGGTATCCATTTAAAAAGTGATTTCTCTCTCAGTCTCTCTACTCTCTTGGATTTATTTGCATTTGCATAATTCCTTAATCCCAGAATGAATTTATCTTTTATAGTATATTTTTAATATGCAACATTAATTTTCAGAATTTAGATCTGTGGCCTATTAAAAGATGCTTTTTTCCCAAACAGATGATGCAGAGCAGTATAATAAACTTCATTATGTAGGAGTTTACTTAGGATGGAATGAGTCATTCATGTCAGTGAAACAGAATTTTTGCTGCCCCTTTAGTCCCTAACTTCACTAAAATTTAAAAAAAAAAGAGCAGAATCTGTGCTAATATTTATTCAGTCATTTACTATTCTGTAATGAACACTGACAGCTTTTAAAGGAACTGGGTACAGCAGCACACACATTTCTGTTTGTTTCGTCATGGGTTTGGGATTTCTGTGCAGAATTTTCATGGTTCTCTGGTTTTTAAATAGATTAGTGTGACACTGTAGAACATTTCTTGTTAGTGGGGAAATATTAGCAGCAATAAATGTCTAGCAAATATAGAGATATATCTCCCAAATAGAGTATTCTTAAAGCTCTGGAGACTAAAGGACTGTATTCTGTTTGATCCTACTGACATCATTAGTTTCCGTGCATCTTTCCCTTTTGCCTACTCTCACTCCTCACACCCCTCACTAACCCTGACATCTCACATGTACCAAAACCTGAACAGATCTAGGTCTTTTTCCTTCTGCCAAATTCAAAAGAAACCCAAATAAATTATAAAATTCCTGTATGCTTTGACTTAAGTATTTTGAAGAGACAGCAATCTGGAATTACACTGTATGGCGCATGACAAACATTCCCATTATTCACAGGGCTCGAGCACTCCCTTCCCCTCCCAACTCCCGGGACTCTCTCCTAGATCATCAGTCAGAACCCCACCTCCTAGGTTTGCCAGCTCCTGCGTCCTCCCCCTGCTGCCTCCTTCAGTCTCCCAGATCCATTCCACTCTGCAGCTCTCTGGCCTCTTGGTTTTTTCTCTTCATCAAGTGCCGGGTATCAGCATAAAGAAGACCCTTGAAGTGAGCAGCAACCGAACCGTCTCCTGGAACTGGCAGAGGAAGAAAGATGGTGGACACATTCATACTTTTAGCTCTGTCAGATAGACTCAGACTCATTCCAGTAAGTATTCCGAACTCAGAACCTCCACAGGAAATACTGGTTGTTACCAACCTCCATTCCATTCCGATCCCCGTTTCCGCAACGCCGCCTGTTTTGTAAGCTTCGCTATATGCAGTTTCCTTGGGGAAAGGAGTGAGAAACGCTGGAGGCTGTTCAGGAGGTAGGGTCCGGATTGACTCTTCAAAGGGAGGAGGCTTAGCTTGACTCCGGGATGGGGCCTGGGCGCGGAGGACGACTGCTGAAGGCAGCCCCGGGT